TTGGTGTTCAATGCATCAAATCTATTATTTAGATGATCTCTAAATTCAGGAGGGATATTTTCAAGATCATACTTTGGCTCTCTTGGACTTGTTTTAATTGTCTTTAACTTCAAGTTGAATTTGCCTTTGAGCAGCTGATGGTCTGTTCCACAATCAGCTCCTGGCCTGGTTTTGGCTGAAGATATTGAGCTTTTCCACCTCCTCTTGCCACAGATGTAGACAAGGGGCTAGTCTCTAATATTTATAGAGAGCTTCAGCATATCAACTAGAAAAAGACAAATAATCCAGTTGAAAAATGGACAGAGGACAGGAACAGACATCTGACCAAAGAAGACATTGAGGCAGCCAACAAACACATGAAGAAGTGCTCACAATCATTAGGCATTAAAGAGATGCAACTCAGAAGAACAAGGAGATATCACATCACCCCAGCATTAGTAGCAAAGTTCAGAAAACCAAAAACAATAAATGCTGGTGGAGGTGTGGAGAGACTGGAATCCTTATGTACTGCTGGTGGGATTATAAAATGGTACAACCACTGCAGAAAACAGTATGGTGTCAAATCTATTCTTGAGAGAGTCTCTAAATCCAGGTGAAACATACTGAAGGTCGTAGTTTTGCTCTCTTGCACTTGTTTTAATTTTCTTCAAATTGAACTTACATAGGAGCAGTTGTTGTCTCTTCTGTAATCGGTCCTTGGCCTTATTCTGACTGATGATAGTGAGCTTCTCCATCATCTCTTTCCACAGGTTTAGTCTGTTTGATTCTTGTTTATTCCATCCAGTGAGATTCTATGTGTATAGTCACTGTTTATCTTGCAAAAAAAGGTATTTGCAATGAGCAAGTAGGTAGTCTTAACAAAATTCTTTCATGCTATCTCTAACGGCATTTCTGTTACCAAGGCTGTATTTTCCAACTACTGATCCTTCTCCTTCATTTCTAACTTTTTTATTCTAATCACCAGTAATTATCAGTGCATCTTAATTGCATGTTTGATCAGTTTCAGACTGCAGAAATCAGTGGAAAATTTTCATTTTCTTCATCATTGCCTTTACTGGTTGGTGTATAAATTTGAACAATAGTCATATTAACTGGTCTTCCTTGTAAATGTGTGGATATTATCCTATCACTGGCAGCATTGTACTTCAGGATAGATCTTGAAATGTTCTTTCTGATGATGAATGTTCCTCTAGTTTGTCATTCTGGGGATAATAGACCATATGATTTTCAGATTAAAAAATGGCCATTAAAGCCCTGGATATTGATCTTTATGAGTTATATTTTATTTTTTACAGCTTCCGTATTTGCTAGATTCATACTCCATTCATTCCACATTCCAGTTCCTAAGGGATATTTTCAGTTATTTCTTCTTATTTTGAGTTGTGCCACATCAGCACATGAAGGTCCCAAAAGCTATACTCCATTCATGTAGTTAAGGTCACCTCTGCTTTTAGGAGGCAGCTCTTCCCAGTGGTATTCTGAGTGCATTCTAACCTGAGGGACTCATCTTCTGGCAGTATATCAGACAATATTCTGCTATAATTCATAAGGTTTTCATTGGCCGTTTTTTTTCAAACATACACTGACAAGTCCTTCTTCCTAATCTGTCTTAGTCTGGAAACTCTGCTGAATCCTGTCCACCATGGGTGGTGACTCTGCTGGTATTCGAAATACTGGTGCCATAACTTGTAGCATCACAGCAACATGTAAGCTACCACGGGTACAACAAACTGACTGACAGCTGAGGGACCAGCAACATATTTTATACAAATCCCCATGATGATAAAAGAACTGTTATTGATAATCCTTTTAAGATTCGAGACTAGGATAATATGTCTCTTTTAGTGAACTGTGCCAGAAATTCCACTTTTATATTTATTAAGGTAAAATAATAACTTGAGATTTGTTTAAATAGAGTTAACTATTTGTAAAATTAATGCTTTACTTTTTTTTATTTTTTATTTAGAGTGAAGGATTGGAAATAAGCAAAGAAACCAAAGAGAAACGATTAGAAGATGGTTATTTCAGAATAGGTAATACCTACTTTAAACTTGGTAAAATGTCCTTTACTTCTCTGGACTTATTCCTAAACTGTAATTTTAAATTCTTTTCAGATAATAATCACCTTTAGATTACAATTGCATTGTACCCCAAGTTTCTTTCTCTTTTTTTTAAGTACTTATTTATATTATGTTGAAGGAGCTTTTGTGGCATAATGGTTAAATCATGGGACTGCTAACCAGATGGTTGGCAGTTTGAACCCATCAGCCACTATGTGGGAGAAAAATGAGGCAGTCTTCTTCTGTAAAGATTTACAGCCTTGAAAAGTCTATAGAGCAATTCGACTCTGTTTTTGGACAGAGTAGTCCTATGAGTCAGAATCAGCTGTTTGACAGTGGGTTTTTATATTATCTTGACCCAACTAGAATTTTAGATCAAGATTCATTTACTGGTTCCTCTTTCTTTTTCAATCTGTCATTTCTTTGTTTACATTCTCTAATAATCTGCCCTTAGCTGCCTTCTGCAGTGTCTTAGTGGCTAAGTTTAAATATTCTCATGGTTTCAGCCAACATCCATATAACAGAATGTGTGATTTTAGCCTCTACTTGCCTCATGAGTTTCAAATCTGTATTGAGATTCCTGGATACCACATAGCCATCTACTTTGAACATCTGTAACACAAATATTTCTTTACTGCTCTCGGTTTTTCTTGTCTTTATTTGTCTAGTTGCCTAAGCCTAAACTGTAGAAATCTCCCTAAACACTTCCCTCACCCTATTGTCTGTTAGTATCAATTTGGTCTATTTTGCATCTCATTTCCTCAAGTCACTATATCTGTCATGGTGCTATATACTCTTTCCCTCTGTTTTAGAGCCAAGAAAGGACTACATCTACCTGGGTCTTCCTGTTGGCTTTCCATATAGCCACTGCAGTTGCCTTTCTAAAATGTAAATCGTAATATATTAACCTGGGTAAAAGTCTTTAATGACTTTCCATTGTCTGATTCCTTGGCTCCCACCCTCCTTCCAGCCTCACATCTTTCTACCTTCCTCTTATTCTTCATATTCTCCAGTCTTAACACTATAGTTCCTCTGATTAATGTTCCATACTCTTACATTCAGCCATGTCTTTTAGCCATTTTGTTTGCCTGAAATTATCTCTCAATATGCTTTCTTATCTTTATTAACCAGTTTAACTGCCCTCTTCTCTGCTCTTCATATCATATTGTAAGTGCCTTTACTGTGCAGTCCTCATATTGTTTGATAGCCCGGTTCAGTGTGCTCACCCTGCAAGAGGAGAGACATTGTCTGTCAGGTATCTCCTTCAGTTAACACAGGGCCTGTCGTTTGATATATACTCATTGAATGATTATTTATTTTCCTTTACTTAAAGTAATTAATCAGGCAAAAGAGAATGGTGATAAGTTATTTTGAATATATAGCATGTGTACATTCTTCTATAGCTCCCTAGAGCTGTTTTACATTTGATGAGTGTCCTTCAATTGTTGCTGCAAGGCTTATACAATAAACCTACCTAATTTCAATATAGTGCAAAGTTTTGGTGTTTAGTTATTTTTATGTCTGGGTTGCACATTATTGAAATGTACAAAATCAGTTGTGTACATGACATTTATTACCTCTATTACATATTAATTATTTATTTCCTAAGAATATTGTGTTCCATATTATGAAAATGGCATAGGAAGTAGAGAAGTCTACATTAAATAGCTTTGCAGTAATTTGAAGATAATAATCCATCTAAAACATCAACTCATAATTGTTTAGAAACAAAATGACCTTATGGATCAGCAAGCTTAGTAGTTAGTGTCACAAAAGTGCCTATCGGAAATAAAGAACAATGACCATAATTTTACACAGTAATGTGTGCTCTACATTTTTTTGCCAACACTCTCTCCCCTGGCAAGGTACTTTTGCACTTAGGCTATGCCAATTTTTTTTTTTTTTAATTAGCGTAGCATGCTTACAAAAATACCTCATGGGGGGAGGGTACAGTTGGCAAACAGATGTAGAACATGCTTGTTGTGTGTATAAAAATATGGTAATTTTTTTCAACTGAATATAGAAACTTCTCCCTTCAGAAATATGTTTTTTTTGGAATGACAGCATGAGAAGCTCCATAGACTCTCTTTCCAGTAAAACAATTATAACTGGTAAAAGTTACTAAAAACAAGCTAAAGCCTCTGAAAATTTTCCTAAAGACATACAGCAAATAGAGAAATGTATATTCATGAGAATCTGCTAAATCTCATTGTAGCATTAAGAGTCTGTGGCATTTGAGCCATGACCTGCTCTGTTACTCACCCTGCCCAAGCTCAGTGAGACAGACACTCTGCTCTGAGCAGGTATAGCCAACACAAGAACTCCCTTTCCCTTCAGCTCTCAGTCCAGGATTACACTATTTCCTTGGCATGCTACCAGCATTTATCATCACCTCCAACTCTGTGTTTCAGAAGCTCTATACCTGGTAAGAATAACGAGAATTGTGAGTCTCCCTCCCTCCACCCAAACTCCACTTTTAGGGTGAAAACTGTACTCCAGGTGCAGAGAATACAGCATTCCAGTTGCTCTCACTATAGCTTTTTTCCTCCAGCATTCTGAGAGATGCATGCTAAGAGAACCAAGGGCTACTGCCACAAACCAGTGCTTTGCCTGCATAGCTGGAGTGTTACTCTGAGACAAGCTGGCTACTGACCCCACCCAAAGATCCTGAGCAGTGGTGCAGAGATTTTTCAGAGTAGAGACAGGCCATAAGAACACAGAGCTCTATTGCTTTCCCTAAGAGGACTGACTTTATTTGAAACAGAGATTGAGAAGTTCAAGCCCAAGAGCTCTAGGGAAAGCCATGAAAATTTTGGTGGTAAACAGTTAAAAAGAGGCTGGTAGCTCCATGATACTAACAAGCTAAATTGTATCCCAGCTAGAATTTTAACAAGGAGAACCAGTAAAAGAAGAAGAGCCCTTTTGGGGTTGGAACAAGCTTCAAAGACCAACCAGCATTAAAGACTACCCCTACAAATGGACCCAAATTTAATTGGATCAGACTATTAAGCAATATATGTTCAGGGCACTGCAAAAACAACAATCATCAGCCAGCAATTAGTGAAGGCTGATGGTTGAATGTGACACCAGTAGAGAGTTAGACTAGCCAATCAGCCAAATACTACCAAGTAAGGAAAATAAATAGTTAAACAAAGCCTTGATAAAACCACCATCATCCCAGGGTGACTTTGTTCATGCCCCAAGCTGTTGCTCTCTTAGGCATGACATCAGAGGGTACATACTGGAGAAGTAGACATCACTGAACTAATCAAGGCAAGTCAACAATAAGTCAGAGAAAGAGGCAAGAATCAATATCCAGAGTTGCTACAATGTTATCTAAAATGTCCAGTTTAAAAAAAAAAAATCACAAGATGTAAAAGGAAACAGTAACAAATGACCCCTATAAAGAAAATAAAGAGGGGAAACAAAAACTGCCTTTGAGAGAGCCTAAGTGTTCAATTTAGCATACAATAACTTCAAAGCACCTATAATAAATATATTCAAAGATCTAAGGAAGGTATAATGACACTGTCTCACCAAATAGATGAAGAGATAGAGTATTAAAATGATGAACCAACTAGAAATTCTGGAGTTGAAAAATATAATAACAAAAATGAAAAGTTTACTAGAGGGGGCCTCAACAGTATATTAGAGCTGTTAGAAGAAATAATCAGGAAACTTGAATACATCGATGGCGTGTATGCAATCTAATCAACAAAGAGAAAAAAAGAATGAAGAAAATGGACAGAGCCTCAGAGAAATGTGGAACACATTGTTTGCACTAACTTAAGCTTAATGGCAGTACCAGTAAGAGAGAAGGAAGAGAAAAAAATATTCAAAGAAATAATGGCTGAAAAGTTCCTAAATTTGATGAAAAACATTAATCTGTATATCCTAGAAGTTCAGTGAATCACCAGTAAGATAAACAGAGATATACTCTTACATACGTTATAGTTAAAATGTTGAAAGACAAAGAGAATATCTTGAGATCAGCAAGACAAAAACAACTCATTGCTTAGAAGGGTACAATAAGAGGAACATCTGACTTCTAATCAGAAACAATGGAGGCCAAAAGGAAGTTGGATTACATAGTCAAAGTAATAAGTGGAAAAAAAAAGAAAGCTTTCAACCAAGAATTTTATGTCCAAAATTATCTTTCAGAAATGAATTTGAAATAAAGACGTTCCCAGATAAATGAAAACAGAATTAATTTCTAGATCTGCTTTCAGGTAATACTAGAGAAAGTTTTTCAGGCTAAAAGCAAATAAAGCAGACAGTAGTTGAAATCCACATGAATAAAGAGTGCTGGTGAAACTAATTGTGTAAGTAATTATAAAAGACTGTATAATTGTGTATTCTCTTTTCATCTCTTAAGCTATTTAAAATCAGTTGTATAAAATAATATGTATATAATTATATAGTTGGATTGATAACATATAGAAATGTAACATACTTTATAAAACAGTGCAAAGGAAGTAGGTGGGAGAAATGTTGTATCGGAGTAGGTTAACCAAGGAAAAGAAGAAGACACAAATAACATGAATTAGAAATGAAACAGGATCCATATCTTACACCATATACAAAAACTAACTCAGGATGGATCAAAGACCTACATAATGTAAATAGGTAAATAGAAATATCCTCTGTCAGATATATATGTATTTGGGAATATAGTCTACTTTACCAAACATGTAAATAGCTAAAATTATAAAGATGATCATAGAAAAAACTGGGTCAACTACAGGGGCCCTAATACATGGCATAAATACACTATCAAACATAACTAAAAACACACAGAGAAAGACAAACTAGATGACCAGAACAGGTTAAAAATTAAACACTTATGTACATCAAAAAATTTTACCAAAAGAGTAAGAGAACCTATAGACTAGAGAAAAAAAAATGGCAATGATATATTGGACAAAAGACTAATCTCAAAAATGTGTGGAAAACTTCAGCATCTCAAGAAGAAA